GGATAACAGAATCCAAAACATCCAAAGGATATCCATTTTTAGAAAGTGTCATCTTAATAAAATCAATTTCACCGCAGAGAAAGCTATCAGAACAAATCATAAGTGCTCTTTAAATTAGGGTCTTAATCAAATTAACTTTTCGTTGTCTGGGACAAAAAGAGTCCCAACGTGTATAAAGTCCCGAAAAAGTAGCCTTCCTAAATAAAGAAGTCAAAAACTTGTCACTAATCCTATGAACAAGAACATCCAAAAAGGAAAGACAAAAATTGGACTCCTTTTCTACGGTAAACTTTAGAGAGGGATGGACAGAGTTTAATCGGTGAGAAACAAGTCGGCTTCAGCCTCATTATTAAAAAGGCAGAAGGTATCATCCACATAACGATGATACATAAGAGGACGACCACTAAAAGAAAATAAGGAAGCCTGATGAAACCTGACAAAAGAAATTCGCTGAAGTTGGACCCAAAGGCGAACCCATTGCTACACCGTCAATCTGCCGAAACATAATATTATCAAAACTAAATTCGACAGACGAGGTGGCGAACATCACGAGATCACAAACACACTCTCAGGAAAATATATATATATATATATATATATATATATATATATATATATATGTGTGTGTGTGTGTGTGTGTATGTGTGTGTCAAATACTCCCCTCTTATTAAAGAAATTACAGTGCCTTTTTGAAGCACATCACTTCCACTCAAAAGATTTTGTTCAGCAACTTATCAACGTCTATGGGTTATTTAATGCCGAAATCTAAATATTTTGAACACAATTTTATGGCTTCAATTAAATATATTTTGAACGGAATTGTATGCCTTCAACTCGAGATAAAATGTATTGTTGGTCATTTTGCTATAAAATTATTGATAATTCTACTATAATATGTACGGTTGGTATATCTTAATATAAAATGTATTGCTGGTCATTTTGCTTTAAAATTGTATTGTTGGTAATTTTATTATAAATAGGTATTGTTGGAATTTTTATATAAAAATGCATTATTAGCATGTTATTATAAAAATATATTTGAATATTCTTATTGCGTGTTTTTTTTTTTATTTGCTTGTTTGAGAGTTCACTATTTGCCAATAGTTGGGACCCTAACAGATGCTACCACCCCGGGTTAAGGTTGATCTGTGAACAACAGCAATTAAGAGATGATTCCACACTCCTCAAAAGCTCCAATCTTCCGATCACAGGCCTTGCTGCCGGATGGAGTTTATCGTCATACCCAGGACTATCAAAATGTGGGAAGGGGAAAAAAGTGAAATAATAGATGGACTTTAGTGAATGTAAATGATATCAAATTATATATAAAAGTTAATTACTCACAGATGAAGAGGAGACTTATAGCGACGGACATATGGTTCTACAGAAGGATGCTGAGGATACCATCGACGGAACATATAAGCCATAAGGATGCTCTAAGGAAAATGGCAACGAAATGTACACTTATACTTAAAATCAGAGACAGCTGAAATTTTTCAGACACACAATGAGGAAAGAAGTCTTAGAAAATTTAACACTCACAGGGCATATTAAAAGCAGTTGGGACAAAGGTAAAACAGCGAGTCTATAGAATTTCTTACCGATAGAAAACTTAAGTATAGTATGAAGAGGAGATATGTTGAAAATTACTATCGAAAAATAAAAGGTGGTGTAAATTCACCTTATTCTTTACAGATTCATGCAATATCTCGATCTATAAAAGGCAGGATGTGTGTGCGTGTGTGTGTAACGAATGCACGGCCTCATTTTTCGACGGATTTGCACCAAAATTTACATGCACATGCTCCAAGTTAGCGGGAAGGCCAAGACGGACTTTGCATTTCCCAACTCCCATCGATAGTGGAAATAATCGATTTTTTCATGCTTCTACGGCAGTTTTCATGTAGTTTGCGGCCATTTTCTACTGGCCAGTGTGAGAGCCTATAGCTGGCTACCACGACTAGGCAGGAAGATTCTATTGGCCAGCGTGAGAGCCAACAGCTGACTGACACGAATGTTAAATAGCATGCTAGCATGCAAAAAAAAAATCGATAGCTGCATTCGTCACAAGTGGGAAAAATTTAAATCTGCATGGCACTTTACTCCAATTGGCTCATTCGCTTGCTTAAACTCAACGTTGATTCTGATTCCGCAGAACTGCGTTGGGTGTGAAAAAGTATTTGTTGTTAACATTCTTTTTTCATTAGGTTTTTCCATTTACGAGTCCTTTTTTTAAAGCTGATAGTTTTGTGATCATTTTGTTTAGTTCTTTTTTCGTAACAGATTTAATGTTTAGTATAGAGCTTAGAAAAAAATCGCAATGTGAGATAGGCAAGAAGTAAGGCATGTAGCAACATCAGCACGGCAAAGGGCACTCCTTTGAAGGCAAGGAAGGGCAAAAATATTTTAAGTCAAGTGATAGCGATTGCTGTATGAGTCGTACGATTTTTGAATCAAGCATGGGCAACGCCGGGCCATGCTGCTAGTCCTATTATAATTGTCTTTGTCCCTGCCTTCGTTAGTTCGCGCGACCATTACACCCTGCCATTAATTCATAAATAATAAAATATTCTGTTTTGATCGCGTGGAAAGAAGGGAAAAAAACACTACTTGGTTTCAGTGAGAAGATGAAAGGAAAAAATAGAAGGGAAGATAGAAGTGGAGAGAGTGAATCAGATTAAGCTGATAACAGATACTACAGTTTGATCTTAGCGGCTGAGAATCGATGGTATTTTTCATTACGCCTACGTTGTTATCGAATGTGATACAAGGTCGAAGTGGGTTTATCGGCAGTACTGTAGAAAAATTGCTTAAGCCCTCTCGGCTTTTACTCTATTGGAAACGCCTCGTGCACCGGGCAATAAATCCAGCCCCCTCCCGAAAGAGAGGTACTGTCTGGAGGGAAGGCCTCCTATGACTTGGGCTTTAAGTTTTTGACCCACGAAAGTCCGAGGATCGATGTCGACCGCGATAAAAGCGCCATTTTAGACGCAGAGTATCGAACAGCGGAAAGCGAGTAAGGCAATATTCAAAAAAATTCATTTACCATAAATAAAATAATATCGTCAGCTGAATTATTTTTAAATTATTATTAAGAGGAATGTTCGTAAGACGAGGATTTGGCTTGTACTTGCATAATTTTGATCTATTATTTTAATGGTGGTTGCTATATGAGGGCAAGTAAAAAAGTGATCGACATTCTTACATATGGTAGGGCGAAAGTGCCGATAGTTTGAAACTTACCCTCGTAGTTGTAATAAACACAACGTTTCGACGAACTAATCTCTAGTCATCATCAGGTGTCTATTGATTGGCTCATATGGGAGATCTGTTGACTATAGTAATATTTTGTCCTTACGACATCCGTTATTGTTCGTTCCTGCTGAATTGGTGCGTCACTACCAGATCCAAGGATTGAATTCATGGCGCCTAGATGATGATCAGATGGTGCTTAGTCGAAACGTTGTATTAATAATAGGATCTATACCAGCATAGACGAGAACAATAGATAAAATATTACAATAATCAACCGATATTCCATATCAAATGATGATGATGACCAGAAAGTCGAAACGTTGTGTCTATAATAGCCTTTATATCAACCAAGACAAGAAACAATATAATAATATTGACAATTACTCATCTCAGAAATGAAAGGCTAAATGATGAAAAGCCACACGAACCAGCCATTATAAGCAAATGACATTGAATAAAAAAGGCTCCAAAAACACACGATGGCGTACTTATATATGTGTTACTGTCATCTTGTTGCCATGTGTTCAATCCTTGGATCTGGTAGTGAGGCACCACTTCAGTAGCAACGAACAATAATCAACAGATACTCAGTGTCAATGAACACCTGATGATGACCAGAGGGTACTTGGTCGAAACGTTATGTCTATAATAAAATCATAATCAACCAAGATGAGAACAATAGTTTGAAACAATACAATAATATTGACAATTAATCATCACAGAAATGAAAGACTGAATTATTAAAAGCCATACGAACCTGCTATCATAAGCAAATGTGAAAAAAAGCCTCTGACACGGAATAAACAAAATGCTCCAAACGCACACGTTTGCGTAGCGAGTATATAACTTAATTATATATGTGTCATTGTCATCTTGTTGCCATGTGTTCAATCCTTGGATCTGGTAGTGAGGCACCAATTCAGTAGGAACGAACAATAACCAACAGATACTCCAGATCAATGAACATCTGATGATGACCAGAGGGTACTTGGTCGAAACGTTGTGTCTATAATAACATCTATATCAACCAAAATGAGAACACTAGTTGGAAATGATACAAAAATATTGACAATTACTCATCTTAGAAATGAAAGACTAAGTTTATTTAAATTGAAGACAGTGTAGCGGCTGGGAGGGAGGATAAGAGGAGAAACTTTGCTTAGAATCACAAAGACAGGAAACTGTGAAGAACCACGATAGCCCATGTCCTGACGCAAAATGGCGTATAAAAGACTATTCCAATCTTCAGAAAAGTTGTCTATTGTGAATGATCTGAATGTAGCGTTATCCTTTATAAGCAATAATCTTTGGGGATTTCGTGCGCATGAGCTTCGATGGAGATGGTGGAAACAAGACTAATATTTTTCTCAGACTTTTGGCTAGCTCCTAGTGCGTACGCGTGTGTATGTGTGTGAGCTTTCACACTGGTGAAGCGCACATTATTTAAGAGGTGTGACTTTTCCGACATTCTTCCACCCAAAAGTCATCTTTTCTCTTTTCAAGTCAAATAATATCAACATCAACCGACCCCCTTTTCCCGCCCAGCAATCATTTCCGCCTTGAATCATATTTCAGTTCTGGAGAGACACCTGATTGGTCCACGTAGGAGAAGATATTGCGCGACACCTCCTCCGTTTCCTGACCTAAGCTTCAAAGGGCATTAAAGTCACATATGATGTGGCTGGGGGCATCCAACGCCAAAAGCAGAGGTTTATATTTTTTTATATATATTTTTCTTCGTGAAAATGAACACAGAGATTCATAATTCTCTCTCTCTCTGTTTGTCGCTATCTATCTATCTATCTATCTATCTATCTATCTATCTATCTCTCTATCTAAGTGTATTTCAATCTATCTATCTATCTATCTATCTATCTATCTATCTATCTATCTATCTCAGTTTTTTCATATCTATCTATCTCAGTTTTTTCATATTTATCTATCTATCTATCTTTCTATCTATCTATCTATCTATCTCAGTTTTTTCATATCTATCTATCTATCTATCTATCTATCTATCTATCTATCTATCTATCTATCTATCTATCTCAGTGTGTTTCAATCTATCTATCTATCTATCTATCTATCTCAGTTTTTTCATATCTATCTATCTATCTATCTATCTATCTATCTATCTATCTATCTATCTCAGTGTATTTCAATCTATCTATCTATCTATCTATCTCAGTTTTTTCATATCTATCTATCTATCTATCTATCTATCTATCTATCTATCTATCTATCTCAGTGTGTTTCAATCTATCTATTTATCAGCATATTTCGTTTTATTTTGATTACGTTTTGTTTTCTTTTATTCTTCGTATTTTCCTTAATTTTTAAAAAAATCTCTTTTTTTTCTTTTATCTTTTTGTTTTTCATTTCTGGTTTTCATTTGTTTTTTTTTAGACGATCTTTTCTATTTTTTGCTTTATTTTTTCTTTTTTCTTTCATTATTTTTCATCTTTCTTTCTTTTTGTATTCTTTATTTTTGAATTTGTAGATTCAACCAGTCTTTAATTCTCTCTATATAATCTCTTTCATTTTTGTCTTTCTTTGTTTCATTTTCTTTTCATTATTTTCTTTGGTTTTGTTTTATTTTATACTTTTTCTCTTGCTTTTCTCATTTTCTTTTTTTTTCTTTTCTCCATTTTTATTTTTTATTTCTTCATTATTTCTTGAATTTCATTTATTTTTTAAAATTTTTCTTTCTTTGATTTTCTCTTCACCATTTTCCTTTTTTTATTTTTATTTGATCCTTCTTTTTTCATTGCAATTTTTATTTTATTTTTTGTTCATTATATTTCTTTCTTTCTTTTTTCGTTTTTCTTTCTGTGTAAATGTTTCAATCCTTGCTTTTTTCATTCCTTTCTTCATTATTTTTATAAATGAATTTCGTTTATTTTCAATTTTCCTTCCCTTGTTTTTTTTAGTATTTGCTTTTCGTTTTACTTTTCTCTTCCTAATTTTTTTTCTTTCTCTCTTTTGACTTAAACATTTTCTTTCTTTCTTTGCATTTTCTTTATTTTAAAATTTTTCTGTACTTACTTTTTCTTTTCGTTCGTTTCGCTTTTATCTTCATTATTTTGCCGATGTCCTTCTTTCTTTCTTTCTTTCTTTCTTTCTTTCTTTCTTTCTTTCCTTCTTTTTTCTTTCTTTCTTCGTATTTCATTTAATTACAGTTTTTTTTTCTTTTGTCATCATTATTTTCTTTCTTTCTTTTCACCATTTTTTTCTTTTTTCTTTCTTTCTTTCTTTCGATTCATTTTTCTTTCTTTCTTTCCTTCTTTTGATTCATACTCTTTCTTTCTTTTTACTCATTTGTCTTTCTTTCTTTCTTTTAATTCATACTCTTTCTTTCTTTTTACTCATTTTTTCTTTCTTTCTTTCTTTTGATTCATTTTTTCTTTCTTTCTTTTGATTCATTTTTCTTTCTTTCTTTCTTTCTTTCTTTCTATTTCAAAACGTATCTCTTATAGTCTGTTTATTAATCTTTCAGAAAATGTTGTCGTTCGTAAAGTCTTCTACACTTGATCTTCTCTCTTCTCTGCTCGTCTTTTTCATTTTCTTTTTCTCCTACAATCTTTTTTATTTATTCTCATTCCAACACTATCACTTCTCCTTCGCCTCTATCTTTTCCTTCTTTTCCTTCTCGTGTACCTTTTCCTTCTTTTCCTTCTCTAGAGTCCTTATGTTATGTTGCTCGATCCACCTACCGTTGTTTTAATGCTTTTCACTTCCGTTTTGTTTTTTTGTTTTTTTTACAACTTTTCCTTCTTCCTCTTCTTCTTCTTGCTTCGTTTTCCTGCTTTATTCTTCTTCATCGGCCCGGTTTATCATTGTTCTTTACTGCTTCCCCCTCCTTAAACTGCATCTGTGCTTCACATAAGCTTTCATATCTCACATCATACCTATTATTCAGGTCATAGGGTGCACACCCGGACACCGCCACCTTTAACCTAGACCGCGTTCTTTTTCCGCACGAATTATCTGCCCTTTGTTGTTGAACTTGGCCTAAATACAAAAGAAAAGCGGTCGCCATTTTTACTTTTGGAAGTTATATCTTTCCTTGGTGAAAATATGCGAGAGTGTTTATTTTTGTCCCACTTATATGATTGGTGCTACTCTTTGCCATACATCAATCCAAAGCCGAAGTAAATATTTTATTTTATATCTTAAATATATGTGAATCCAAAGTAAGTCTGTTGTATATTTTCCTTAATTTTTAGTGTAGATTAACGGACTGGGAGCTGGTGTTTAGTTAGGTACCTCCACGAGATCGCTAAAAAAGAGCATAGCATGATGAAAAAGACGCCAAACTTGACGAAAACAAAATTTTATCGTCTAAATGTTCATGTTATTATTAAGAGGAAAGATTAAAGTATTTTGGGGGTATTTTTTTTACATTTTTTAATCGTTCCGAGCACGTCTAAAATTTTTGTTACAAATCTTGTTTTTTTTTGAGTCAGCAAAATTGACAGATAATCGATTATGGCATTCATTTTTTTCCATTTTATAAAAAGATGAAAGTCTCACTTTGAAATTCTTTTAAAAATCAATTATCATTTGTTCAAAACTTATTTTTAAGAAAATCAGAAATTATAATGTTTATTTAAAATATTTTGAACCAAGGTTGACTTAGTTTCTGCGCCGAAAAGATATAATTTGAAAATAAAACAAAGCAGGTCATAACCTTTCGCGTCACTTGACAGGTGATGAATGACGGATTTACGTGATCATAATTTGTTCTACGGAAGCTGAATAGTGAAGTTATTTAGATTTAAGTGAATAAATTATTTACCTCGTTATTATTAAGGAAAACTTTCAGCGCTCTAATTTTTTTTTGTACTTAGCTTTCACCTTTACGTTTACGATGCTTTATGGAATATATATTATAAAGAAAATCAAATAAGACTGTTAAGAGTTAGAGTAATTTTCATATTTCATAAGAAAGGTATCTAATTAATTTATAGGTACCTTTTTTATGAAATTTTATCAGAAGTGTACATAAAATACTATAATTTTATGTACATTTATTACATTTTACTGTGTTATTTGTATTTCCATTCATTTTATTATTAATTTTGATATTTCATTTATGAAGAAATGTCATAACTGAGATTAATATAAAAAATAAGATCATATAAATTTCATAAGATGATACTGATACTTGTAGGTACCCTTCTCAGTTGGAATTGAAAAATCAAATTAACTTCTCCAAACGTGTTTCGCAAAAGTAAAGGCCTTAACAGCGGATAACAACGCTTAAATCAAATAACGCAACTTAATTGTATTCTGGTTGGTCTTCCGTACTTTATAATTACAGCCCGATTATAAACACAAAATTACATTTCTTAATTACTGCGGCTCTTCTGATTAGTCAAAATGATACAATTTACAACGCGCTAAAAAACATCTATCTCATAAGAACACTTAGGAAACCCGATACGGCGTTTTAACTAATTTTATAATATTTTAACAACTTAAATGTAAAAATCCGTTATAATTAAAGAAATAACAAATAATTGTATTAAAAATTCATTTTTCATCGAAAAATTTTTTTGCTTTCATAAAACATTGTCCATATTCATAAAAACAACTAAAAGCAAATAAAAAGCATTTGAAATTAAATAATATCTTTGTTTTATTGAGTTTTCTGTTACAATTCAGAGCTGATTTTCAGATAGGGGGCAATTAAAAACAACAAAAAAAAAAAAAACCAAAAACAAAACTCATCATTTGCATTCCTCAAAGCCTTGTGCTCTTAACTATTGTAATCACTAAACCCGATGCGATCGAATTTCTCGCGTTTTCATAAAATTAGTTAGGGGGGGGGGTAATAAATATAAAAAAAGATATTTCTGCCATGACTAATAAAAAAACGGAAGACAAATGCATAGAAAGTCTGACTTTAACTTAAAAAAAAAACACAGCGTTGGTTTAGTAATGCAAGTTATGGCGATGAAATTAGGTTCTTCAGAAGAAAGAGAAAAGCATCAAATATTAAATTTGTGTCAAGATGATTAATCATCGTTATTAGCAATAACAAAATAAACTAATAAAATTAATTATTTCATTCCTTGTTGATAGAATCTGGGAGGTTACACACAAACAATTCTAATAATGTTGAATCTCTTTCCTATTTAAAGAAACATATTAAAATAGATAAAAATATAGAGAGATAAGATCAAAAACTGAGGTTTTTTTTTATTAGACTTTGATACAAGGCTAAAGAACCACTCAACTCAGAGGGCTACAGTGGAAAAGATAATGATGAATGGGATGTGTGATATGATTGTAAAGAAAAACATATATATATATATATATATATATATATATATAGAGAGAGAGAGAGAGAAAGAGAGAGAGAGAGAGATACACAGAAATTACTGTGATAGAAAGATATATAGAAAATATTGCGATAGATAGATAGATAGGAAAATACTCCGATAGATACATGAACAGACATGTAGATAGATATTGAGAGGCTGAGATAGATAGATAGATAGATAGATAGATAGATAGATAGATAGATATGAACAGAATGAGATAGATAGATAGATAGATAGATAGATAGATAGATAGATAGATAGATATTAACAAATGCATAAAAAAAATCTGGACTGTTTGTTTCTTTTCTGATTGAATGTTTATGAAATCCTGTAATGAATAAGTGTGGGGTGGTGACGACTGTGTGTCCGCGAGAGGTATGTTACGGCCCTAATGATGTGCCTGCGTTTTGTCCTTGGTTGGCTTTTCTATTTCACAACCCGAGGGCAACGGAAGCCGAGTGAAGCGTCAAATATTAACTTACATGCTTCCGTAGATTTTCTAAGTGCGCTCACACGCAAATAAATGAAGGCCGAGACGCGGTCACATATTTCAAATATTTTTTTGCTTCCCCTTTTTTGGTTTTAGCTTTCATCGCTTTTAGTTTGACTTTTTCTTTCCAGTTTTATTTTATTTATGTACCTACAAAAAAACACCCCACAAAACCAAAAATAAAACAAGAGAAAACAAAAAAAAAAAAAAAAAAAAGAAAAGAAAAGGAAAAAGAGGTGATACTCAACGTTTAAACGTCATTTTAAAAATGAAAAAATCTTTTTTGAAACATTTACTTTAGTTTTAATTCTAAGCTAATAGATTAAATTTAATATTTCTAATAAGAAAAATATTTTGATGTAATCGAAACCAAATTTAAATGGACTGTAATTATTTTTCTGATTCTCAGTAAAATCTAGAAAATCTGTCCACGGAATATAATTCACTATATTAAAAATCTCTAAAAAAAAAACATACTGATAACTGATTTAAAGTTGAATTAATCAGAATTGAAACATGTATTACTTTTAAAATATCGCAGTAAAGCATTTTTATCACGGAGGTGGGTGTTTTTGACGTGTTGAATGAAGTGTTGACAGCCTGAGGTTTATCAATAGTTAGGAGTGAATAATTGAAATAAAATTATATGACAAACGTCTTATATAAGTATTTTTTGGTCGGTCTAGGCAATTTACGCTTCGAGCACTTTACTGAGTAAGTAAGTTTGCTTTCAGGCCTTTTTCTCTTTCTTTTTTTCAGTAATTTCGTCTTTATTAGAGACAGTATCTCGATTTAGGTTTTGGCAAGCTGCCCGTTGGTTCCATCAATGGATTTTGTTTTTCTTTAATATATATATATATATATATATATATATATATATATATATATATATTAACATATGTTCATTGATAATTTAGACAAATTTTGTTTACTTATTTTCAACAGGATCTTTTCATATTCACGAACAAGCCTTTTGGTGCCGTTATTAAAAGTAGAGAGGAATTTACCGTTTAGATACATGTTTTTTTCTTATACACACACACACACACACACACACACACACACATATATATATATTAACTATATATATATATATATTAACTAACTACTATATATATATATATATATATATTAACTAATATATATATATTTATATATATATATATATTAACTACCATATATATATATATATATATATATTAACTACCATATATGTATGTATATATATATATATATATATATATATATATATTAACTACCATGAGATACGATTAATGGAATCATAAAACTTGTAAGTTTTGTTTTCGTCAGCAAAACGTTGAAATTCTTCAGATTTGCGGAGGCACCAGTTGTTTTGAGTTTCCCGAAGCTTCCGTTGTGCCTCTGGTCGTAAGCAACGCCAGTTTGGGGCGTGTGGACGAGAGCGTGGATGTGCAAGATGACCGTCATTTGCTTGATACTTTGGCTTCAAAAGTAGCTGGATAACTTCAACGGATTCATCGAACCAATCTGGGTTCCTTCGCTGAGTTTTCGAAGCTTGCCCAACAGAGATTGAGTAAATTTACATGAAGTTCGACTCGTTTTGATTACTTGTTCAAG